GCAAAACAATGCAAATATTGAGCATGAAACCAAACAACAGTGAAGTCCTTCATGTGTGTCACCACCAGAAATAAAGAGAACAGGAAAAAAAAAAAAAGTAACCAACAGACTCCTTTCATTATTTCACTTTGGTCTTTTTAACGTAAATATTTCCATGAAAGCTTGACCAAGATGAGTGTTTGGGAGCAGCAGGGCATCTTTTTAGGACAACAGATTTGAACAATACCTGGGGCACACAGACTCTAGAGCCAGGCTCAGCTAAAAGGAGAAGCTTCAGTCCCACCAAACAGATATGGAATTGCTGAATCCCTAAATATATCCACAGCCAAACTGTACACATCACACGCACCTCTAATCTCACGGCAATCAACAGAGCAATTCCTCTCCCAGTATACCTTAATCCACACAGATCCTGGTCTGAAAATACTTGGCTGTGGGTTCTTTAGGATGAGAAAGTCTTCCTCACAGATTTACAGATGCTTTGTTTGCACAGAAGATTTTATGACAGCTTCTGCTTGCTGCCTTCAGGGAGAGACTGAGGAATAAGATTTGCCACCTCTTTGCTCCTGAGGAAGCAGCTCATACCTCATACCATACCAGCTTTGGAGCCATCTCCTTCCCTCAGTACACCATAGCAATAACACACAATGAGGAACAGAAGAAGAAAATTAACACTAATTTGACCCAAGGCTGCACTACAGCACTGGATTCCCAAAGTGTAGGGGTGGGACCAATGCCTTGCAGGAAATCACAGTAAAAATGGCACAAATATATTTAAAGTCTCCAGCATCCTGCGGGTGGCTACAGACCAGAGAAGCCAGAAATCTGAGCCATACAAATCTGTATGCATCTGCTGTTGAAGCAGCTGTCCACCTCATGCAGCCCCCCGTAACGCCCCGAGGGGCTCCACATCACCCAGCCTTCACCTGCCTGGGAGTTCTGCCTTTGAAGATGGGATTTTATATCCACTAAGAAGCAACTGTTATTAAATCATCCTCTAGAAGCCCCCCAAAAAGATGACTATCTATTACTACTACCTCTAGGACCAGATGAGCAGTGTGCCATGGAGCGGCAGATGTATGAGAACTGACAACATCACAAACCCCAAGGCTTGTGCCTGAAAGCATTGCCTTACTGTGGATTTCTTCAACTAGCACTGAAATCAGTTAGAAAGCATTGGCAGGAACATGCTGGCTCTCTCATCTCAAAAGCAGTGTCCATTTTCTAATTGCTGGTATTTTACCAACAGATGTCAGGGAACACCGTCTGGGGATTTAGAGGGAAGGACGATACCTTTTACAGAGAGTTACTGTAGTTTGGGGAACCAAAACCAGTTAAAGATAATGAGTCATAACAGGAGGTAGTTACTGTAAATATTCCAGGCATGGGCACATTAACAACCACCCACTAACCAGAGGCAATGCCACAGGCAGACAGAGAACTCCCACTGGTGTCACTGGGAATTTTGAATGGATCAGGACCTCAGCCAAGAGCTGAGTATCTATTGTAACCCACGGTGTTAATATCCAGGATGGGGTGGGTCGCGCTGCAGATTTTGGCTGTCACTTCCCAGTGGGCGATGCAGGCATCTATTCAAAGGGATCTGCAATCTCAGACTTCAGACAGGAGACACAGATTTCTTCATGATGGGAAGCAAAGAAAAAACCATTGAGTTCAACTCCTCATTCCTCAGCATTGTTAAATGCTTACAGCACAAACACAAGTTCTGATGCAGAGGGCAAACCCAAAGAGACTCCAGTTTCATACATCAGACTGTGGCTGGTGAAGGGCTGTCAGTTTTTTGGGGGTTGGTAGTTGTGGCTTGGGATGCAAAAGCACTGGTACCCAAACTTTTGATAAAGCATCCCACCAGAGCTCCTAGCACACCAACACTGTGCTCCCTTCCCCCTTCCTGCACTGCTCTGCACTTGCTGCTAATTTTGATTCCGTGGCCTCAGACCAAGATGTGGTCAGCTTACACATTGCCTCCGTGCTGCTCTTCTTCAGCCCCTCTCAAGTAAGTTGCTTTCCCATGATTCAGTACCATAGAAATATAACTGTTGAGATCAGCTTCTTTATTTTTGTCAGCTTTTCTACAGACCTTTCAATCATAAGCTGCATTATACTACGTTCTCATAAAGCCAGGAAAAGCAGTAATAGATATGTCAAAATCCTGACTTCTATTTTTCCTGCCAGGTGATTTCTTTAAGTGCTTTGTTTTCTCCTGTCACTAAATTAGAACAGTACCTCTATTTCCAAAGCCTTCACCCTCACTGTCACTATTTCAATAGGCTCTTCTCACATTAGAGCTATCAGCTTGGAAAATACTCCTCCCATTCTGCTTTTTGGAGAAGAAAATATAGTCTGTATTTTGTCACTGCTTCTGGCTGAGGTTATCAGGCTTCTGGGCAGAGCCACCCAACTTCCTCGCAGTGACAGTGAAGTGACTGGAAGGGACCTGCCCGTGTCTGCCCTGCTGGGGGAAGATGATAGCACATAATCCAATTGGCGAAAAGAAAGCCAAATGCAGACGAATCCATTCCTCAGATTTAGTTTTAGATCCTCTCCGCCGTCCCTTGGCTTTTCTTGGAGGAGCCACACAAATTGCAGAACAGCCTCTGGAAAGAGTTTGGCTGCAACGCTGGGCAGCACGAGCTCTTTACAGCCCAGAGCTAAAGCCCAAAGAGGGCTGCAGCATCTTGGCTCACTTGCCAGTGCCCTACATCCTCCTGCTGTCCTGTGCTTCTTATCTAAACAAGAGGTTAACAGAACTGCACTCAAAACGGGTCACATTGATACATTCCCAAACAGAACACTGAGGACACTGGATGTGCCTTTCTCATAGTGCAAAGCAAAGGTTTCTGGGGGGAGATCTGGGGATAGACCCCCACCTGACCCCAGGGCATCTCCACACAGCAGCTCCACAGCTCAGGAGGAACTTGCATGGAAAGGTGGGCATCTCGGACTGCAGAACGCCAATCCATAGGCTGCATGGAGTCTGGGAGAGCTAACTCTTCAACATCCACAGGCAGCTATGAAAGCTGCCAAGTCCAGAGCAAATCAGCCCTTATGAGATTTTCCAGGCAGGACCCAGAATGTCTGAAGAGAAAACTGGCCGTCCCTCTTGGGTTTAAGAGAAAAATGCCACCAGAGCTATCCCTTTAAAAGCAGGTTTTGGTCCTTCTGTCACACTGCACAACCCCCTGAAGCCACTACGGGCTCTGTGTGATATAATTCCACTGAAAATATCCAGGGTGAGAAGTCACTACGTGCTCCATAGTGCTGTTTCCTACCAAAATTCACAGCCTCTCAGGGCTCCTCAACACAGACCCACAGGATCCATCAGGCTCCTCAACACAGACCCACCCAAAAGCAGGTGGTAGAAGATGCCACTAACACCTGGCAGAAAGCAGCTCCTTGTTTTAGGGCAGAGTGTGGCCATCTGAGTTGTGCAGATTGCACAGCCCCAGCCCAAAGCTCCTCCTCAAGGGAGGAAGGCCCACACTGCTCTCACTAGCAAAGCTCAATGTCTATTGTGCAAACCCAGCCGTGTGTTCACAGCAGGTATTAAAATCACCTTGCAAGATGGGATTCCTCCTGTGCTATCTCAAGCCAGTCTCTATTGCATGGTGACAGAGAAAGTTTTTGTTGCTGCCTCCAAAGGAGCACATCCATCTCCTGCAAGCAGTATCAGCACCAACAGTTTCCCTGAGCGTTCTCAGCATACACACCTCCCATCACCACAGGAATCGCAGCCCTGCGTGTCTTACTGCCTCAGCAGCAGCAAATACAACTGACTGTACATTTGGAAACACACACGTCAAAGGGCTGCACACAAACAATTTCAAACCCAAAGATTTCAGCATGACTCGTGATCGACAGAATAGGAGACTAAGTTAAAGAGTAAGTTTTCATGCAAGTATGGCAAATCCTTTGTGTGCTGGGCTGTAACAGCTCTAAGCACGTAAAATAAATCCCCAGAAATGCAGGAATCTTCTATTTTTTGTTATGTGATAAATTATTTAAAGGGCGTTTTGGTGAATAAGGCCAATATATTAAAAAAAACAAAACAAAACAAAAAAAAAAACAACTAGTCAACATCAAAGAAAGTAATTTAAAGACATTTGGAAAATGGAAGATTTTCGCAATGCATCTGAATGGTGGGCTTTGCTATTTTTATGCAATAAAATAAGGAAAAGTCTGGTGAAAATAGCAAGGGTCTCAGCAAGATGTAGCTGAAGGAGAAAGATAGGGTTAAAAAAAGTATATAAAACGAGAGGCGTTCAGCACCAACTTCCAGGATCAAGAAACTCAGAAGTTTGTCGTTCGTTTTTAAAAGATGAAATAAATAAGAAGAACTAAAAGGACAGATCGTTTGGGTTTGGCCGCCCAGACTGCAAGAAAGTAAATGACGGCAGAGCGTTCCCTTTTATAAAGCAAAGAAGTGAGGAACTGCCGTTTTCCCTCACGCTAAGAGCGTGCCCTTCGGCCGCCTGTCCCAGCAGCAGCAGCCACACCGCCACTCGCGTCCATCTCAACACACGGGGAAAGAACTGCTCCCGGGATGCCCGCCCCGCACACACGCACTGCCCCAAAGCTCACTCCCACGGCCCTGAGCGCTGCAGCGCGGGCAGAGCCACCTGTGTGTGCCCCCCCGGAACGGGGCACCCCGCTATAGGAAAAGGGGTCCGCATGCAGCCCATGCCCCCCCCGTCTCCATGGCGATCTCCCAGCGCGGTTTGCGGGGAGGAATAGGGAGAGGGGGGGACACGCACTTTCGTGCCGCATTGAGCCGGGCCGCCCCCCCCCCCCCCCCTCCCCCTCCGCGCCCCGCACCGCGCCCTCCTCCCTGCCCCCGGGGGGGGGGGGGGGGGGGTGGGGGTACCCCCAAAGTACGGACTTGGGACCGGAGCGATGCCCCCCTCCCAGCGGTAAGGTCGGGCTGTCCGCGGTCGGGCTGGGGAACATGCTGGGGAGCGGAGCGGCTGCGCCTGCCTTACCCTTGGAAGCATCTTTCTCTTCTTTGGGCTTGATCACCTTCCCGCTCATAGACCCCAGCTTGGGTGGGAAAATCCCCAGGAGCTTCGCGGATTCCGGCTGGACCCAGAGAAACCTCGGGCGGGGGGCAGCGTGCGTGCAGGAGAAGGAGGGGGGGGAAGAGGGGGGAGAATCCTCTGTACGCCGAAAAGGCAGAAATCACACGGACGGAAAGGGAGGTGGAGAAAGAGAGAGCGAGAGGAGGGGGAAAAAAAAAATGACAATAATAATAGGAAGAGAGGAGGCGGCGAGCTGCCCGCTCCCCGGCGCGGTGCCGCCGCGGTGCTGCGGGAGCGGAGCGGGCGCTGAGCGGGGGGCTCCGGCAGCCGCAGCACCGAGCCCCTGCGCCGCTCGCCGTGCCGGAGACAAAAGCGATTTTCCCTGTATGTGTCTGCCTGGCCCCGGCCCCCTCCTCCCCCCGCCTCTCTCCGGCTCTGCCTCTCCTCCCCAGGGCCAGGGAAGCGCAGCCGGTCCTGGGAGTGCCACCGATCAGCGAAAGGGGGTGTGTGTGTGTGCGTGTGCGTGTGAGAGCAGGGGGGAGGGGGGGGGAGGCGCCTGGGTGGTTTGCTTGGGTGTTGCTTGGATTTTTGGTTGGGTTTTGTTTTTTGCTCGCAACCTCCCCTAACAATAATGGGATGGAGCAGCAGAGCTGCAGCCGCGGATGGGAGGAGGAGGACGCGAGCGTTCGGCACTGCAGAAGAGGCGGCAGGTTTACAGCAAAGAGCCGGAGCTGCCCCCCCCCCCCCCTCCCCAAACGCCTGGTCCCAGCACCCTCTCCCCATCTCCCAGCCCGAGTACCCAGTGGGCAGAGTGGGGGAACAAGGCGCATCCCTCCTGCCCCTCAGCTCTGGGACTGTGCCCCGGCGCCAGGGAGGTAGGCGTGACACAGAGCCGGCCCCCACCATTGGGGTGCCCCCCTCAACCCCCCATTTCATCACGGGGAGGCTCCGGGCCGCAGCCCGACAGCCTGTTGCTGTTCAAAGGGAAGCGAAAAGCCAGGAGAGGGCGACGAGGGACGGGGGAGAGGATGAGCTGGAGTGAAAAGGGGCACCCGCTCTGTCGGATGGGGTTCTCCTCACTGCTCCGAGAGGAGCAAGGGACCCCCGACAGCAGCCGAAGCTCCTCTCACTCCAGGTAAAAAAGGGCTTCCCTCCTGCCTCGTTCTCTACGGCGGGGTGGGGCAAAGCTTCCTTGGAGCGGGGCCGCCGTCGAGGGAAGAAGCACGGCTCCACATCTCACACCCTCTGCCCCGCGGGGAGGGCGGCCGGGGGAAACCCGATGCAACCCCTTGGAGCGCCCGAAATAAAGTGCTGGGAAGGGAGAGCCGCGAAACGCCCAGGGCAGCTTGACATGCCCCAGTTCTGCAACGGAGCTCGTGGCGAAACCAACGGGGAGACGCGGCAGAGCAGAGCAAGGCCGCTGTGGAGGCAGCACGCTGAGGGCACGGCAGTGCTCGCCCCACCTACCCCGCCCCGACGGCAGGAGAAGCGATCCTCTCACAAGCGCAGCCCCGTGCGGGGGTCTCCAGCCCTGGCTGCGGCACCAACAGGGCTGCGCGGCCGCTATTTTTAGACGAGCCGAATTCTTTCCCCTTCACCCTCCCTTCTCTCCAACGCAGCGCCGCGGACAGCTGAGAGCAGATCGGCTTACGGCGGGGCCGGTCCTACCCCTACCCCCGGCCCTACCCGCAGCACAGTGCGGCCGTCCCGCAGCGCAGCACGAGGAGAAGGCAGTGCTAAGCCCCGCAGATCCTACCTCACCTCCTGCAGGTGGTGCTGGGCCGGGTGTGATGGCAGAGCCGTGAATACGGAAGTCAAGGCTGGGGGAGCTGAGGTTGAAGAGGCAGCAGCAAAACTACTGCTTTTGTGCTTACGCTGATTACTTTTCCTTAAGTCATACACCAAGGTCCAAACGGAGCTCTTGGGCAGCACACCTCCAGCCCTCCGTGTCTGCAGCAGCACAACTTCTGCTCTGTTTCTGGATCTGAGGAGTTACCCTGGCTGGGGGTGCTTTGGCTTTGCTTTGCAGATACTCACAGAGCCCTCTGATGATGTTATGCTTCCAACGTACCTCTGTTTTACTCGAGTCTTTTCTGTGATGCCTCTTTAATGCATCCAAGGCCGAGCAGGAGGGCTTCAAGTTGGGCTTTCTCTTGGCTGTTTCTCTCCAGACAAATGGGCCACTGAGATTAGAGAACTGGAAGGAGAGGCTGTGAGGCAGTGTTGTCAGATCTCACTGCTTTGTGAGTTCCAGAAAGGACATTTCTGCTCTCCGTTCCTCAGCCCCTGGTTTTCAAAGGTGCTGTGAGGGGAGTGACACAGTTCACACTTCTGGTCCAAGGTCTTTCCAGCACCTCCCTAATAAATGCTGTGCTCAGCTCTGGCAGAGCAGCTGCCTTCCAAGAACTCTCACCTTTGGCAGGTGGTCTTTATATACTACAGGAGTTACTGCATTGACCAAATGAGGCTTGTGTACTGAAACCAAGCCCTGGAAGGAGGTAACAGCTCAAGAGGAGCGGAGGAAACGTTCCCACTGGTGGGCAGAGTGAGCTCAGCCCACTTCACTCTGAAATGAGCTCGTTTTTCCCTTCACTGCTCTGCAAGGCTTAGAAGTGTCAATTACATCAGTAATAAAATACAGTGTTATGCATGAAAAATATACAGGGGTTAGCATGAAGGTTTATTGCAGCCTGGATGCAATTTGCTCAGCCTTTTCTTTTAGAGCTACCTTGTTCCAGTGGAGAGAGTGTTTGGGGATGGGATATGAAAGTCTTCAGATCCTCAGTTCTGTGCTTTGCTGTGGGCATCTCTGGATGGGAGGTTTGACAAATGGTCTGGCACTGCAGCAAAACTGTACCTAACTCACAAAGATTTAAACATTAATCTGGGCTTAGTATCTCTGTACATCACTTCCCCACCTATAGTATGGGAATTGCTTTAGAATCAGAACACTGGAAGCTGAGAAGCACGCAGGTGCTGTGATGACAGAACTGATACAGTGAGCTGCTACCTCAGCTAAGCTGATGCAGAAACATACCCATACCCACATATCCATGGCTCTTACATGGAGACTGTATTTCTCACTAACACCACTCCTGGAGTTTCTGAATTTGAAACTGTTTCTGGGCCTCCCAATAAATCAGATACCCAGAGGAAGAGAGTTCTGTGAAGTTTGATACGAAGAGGTCTGATGCATGCTGTGCAAATGCTGCACAGGCACTCCCTGCCCACCTGAATGGCTGGGGAAGGCTTACATTCAAGTCTGTCTTTGGTGGGAGGAGCCTGATTAAAAGCCAGATATACTCAATGTCTCTAATTATCTTTCATGCTTTTCCTAAGATTGTAATGGAGTCAACTCAGCTGAGTGGCAAGAAGCCAGCGGTGCAGCACCAAGAGTGGAAGCACAGTCCCTTTTAAGGTGCCTGAACTCTCCTACCCAGAGAAACAACACGATTGCCCCAAGCACAGCACGGTCTCACAGCTCCAAGTGTGAAGTGAAACACGAGGCTTTCTCAGCAGAGGGACACAACAGCAGGTCATGTTTGGGCTCTCCGAGTGCTCCCAGCTCAGGGCTGCTCTGTGGAAGCAGCACAGCAGAGCAGTGCCATGCAGGGCTGTGCTGAGCTTTTATCTCCCAGAAGTTGGAGATTGTTTACAGTCTGAATCTGTACATCCTGGGGGCCTTTGTACAACATAACCATTTTAATGTCCAACAACGGAGTGATTTGCCCATAAAACTCATCCTCAAGGCACACAGATGCTTTTGCTGCTCTAGTAAAATGCCTTTAGAGATATCTGTCCCTGAGGGATTCTGGACCTCACAAAGCTGTGGTAGGAGTGTTTGTTCCCATGGTTCTTTGCCTTATTCTTAAGTAATACTTGTCTCTTTTCTGAAGGCTCTGGGTTGTAGGAGGTCCAGATTCTGCTGCTTTCACTAGTGGGAATTTTACTTTAAAGCAGTCTAGCAAGATTAAATTAGCTTTGTTATGATGGCTTCTGGTATGTTCCCAGTTAAATCTGAAGTAAAACTTTCCCTGTATTCAGGTAGAACAGGATTAAGCATTAAATTTAAGATTCCAGGCATAATAGAGTCTCACAAATACACGTACTTCATTTCAAATGCCATTTTTAATTTATACTGGCATCCAGAGGCATTTATTGCTTTCCATAAAAGAAGTAAATGATTAAGTGGGCATGTCTGAAGTTTTGTTGCCGCTTCATGGTAACAGCGTCTGTAAAGTGGGTCCGAATAAATCTATTACACAACCCCACTGCCTGGCCTGCTGCTATTGCAACTGGAATTCAAGGGCAATGTTTCTCATTGCCAGTGTGTATTTTAACCAAAAGAACCAACAGAATTCATAGACAGGAGTAAACTAAATAGTAGACTATTCTCTAGCCAGCACATCCAATGGGTGTCTATTTGTTCCTATCTTCTTTTCACCATTCCTATTCCTTTGCAGTCTCATGCTCTACACAGAGGACCTCTTTTTTGGCAGAAAGCATGCTGTGCAGAATATTCCTCTTTTTGTTTGCCAAAACATAACTGCTATATGCAAATAGAGTTCCAGCTAATGGATAGTATGGAGATTGCAGTTTAATTTCTCTAAATAATTCTGTCTGATAAACAGAGAAGCCCTAAGCAGACACTTGTGGTGAGGGATAATGATCATACTCACATGGTGAATCTCTCACCTATTTACTATGAATCATTTCAATTAAAATTAATGGGCATCAAGCATTCTGTGCTGCGACCCCAGCACTTTGGATGGCTCCTCCAGGCTGAGGAATGTGCTCAGCACCTGGGAAGTGGCACATCCCACATTGCTGTGGAATGACCCTGTTGGCTGATTAAGCTTGGGAAAATGCAGAGCAAATCCTGTATGGAGCACCAGGCTGGTGGGAGGCCTTTAGTCCCGGAGATCAAAATCTTCCAGTCTGGAAGTCTAAAATAGACCAAGCTTGAAGGTCTTTTCTGTTTGCAACTCAGTACATCTACTAAGCAGATTGTTCACAGTTTGCAGATATGCATTTCAGTAACAGAGTGGGATATTAGTTTTCACGTTTAAGTGGAAACCAAATAAACCCAAACAAATTCTTCTTACAACT